GCCAGCGGCGACTCAGTCAAGGAAGCTCTGAGCCCAAAATATTTAGGAACCACTTGTTTAGGGGCTTGGGCAAAACCTGCAGCTCAGGTGACACCAGGCTCAGCAGTGATGGAAAACAACCCTTTAATTAACCACACGGCCAGGGTGGGGGGGGGCCTTCTGGTCTGTTTTGGAGGGGTGGGACATTCTTAGAAGATCCCCGCCCCAGGAAAGGTAAGCAAGTTGTCCCTAGGGGACCTCTTTTGTTGCAAAAAAAAGAAGCTGATGGTTTAATGATTAGGGTGCTCTGAGCCTTGGAAATTTAGCCGCATCCCTGGGATGGAAGACGGCGTGCGTCCCCAACCCTGCTATTTGCCCAGCGCTACAAGGGAGTATCACCTCGGCTCCAGTAGGGAAAGATGAGGAAGAACAGCCCATGGCACGGAAAACGTCTCAGATCAGTGGCTTCTCATCCTTGAGAAACCAGGGTCTTTCCCCAACCCAGCACAGCTGACATGCTAGATTCCTCTCATCTCAGCCTCCCATCTCCTAGACTTTCAAACCAATATTTAAAAATTTAGGTGTTTGGAGGAGTATGAAAATCCTGCCTTCCATCTGACAGAGTAGGGGTGGCGGTTTCCAAATGGTGCGCTCCGGTGCCACGGGGTGCCACCCAATGCCTCTGCCTCTGGTGCCAGAGAGACCCCTGCAGCCAGTGGCCACTCAATCAAGGACACCCGGGTGACCCCAAGGATGGGAAACACTCTTTTAGATGATAAAAAAAGAAAACAGGCAACGCTCTCTATATCCAAGACCAAGGGACACAGACATTTTGGCAATGACCACATCCCTCAGCATCAGCATCTCAGAACAGCAGAGCTGGAAGGGGACCCCATGGGATCATCCAGTCCAGCCCCTGTCGAGCAGGCCCCTTGGGGGAATCGAACTCGCAACCTCTGATTCCGCAGCCAGAAACCCAAACCGTGGAGCCTTGGCATGGCCAATAAGAAAGTGGGAGGTGTCGATCCAAGCATCTGCAAGGCTTTTCCCATTTATATATATACATAAAGAGAAAAAGGCAAATTGATACTCTTGGTTGCAATTTTAAAAGCCCTGCAATACCTCCTGCACCATGTCAACATTTAACAAAAACAAAATAAAAAGCAAACCATGAGTGGAACTTCTGATCTTCTTCTGCGCTCTGATTTTTTAAAATTCTTTTTCTTTTTTAAATTTGGATGGCTCGGTTTGGCCCTCCGTGGGTCTCATGGGTGAGAAACTGACCCTTGGAGTTTTTTCCACCCCTAGTTTCAAGGAATGAGGGTGTCTATTAAGCCAAATCTCATTGAAGAGTTCAGTGGTTTATGCCTCTGGTTGCGGAAGCAAGGGCTGGAAGTTCGATTCCCCCCACAGGGCCTCCCGGGAGAAGAGCCAGCCTGGGTGGCCTTGGGGTATGATTTAATGTAGTGCCTTCTTTCTTTTTTAGAATTGTCTGTTTTCGTTGTTTTATATTATTTTTATGGTTGTTAGCCGCCTAGAGTGGTCCGTGCGGACCAGATAGGCGGGGTATAAATCAAATAAAATTAAAAAAAATTAAAAAATTAAATATATCCTGTTGTTAGCCGCTCAGAGTGGTATAAATATACCAGATGGGCGGGATATAAATAAAATAAATAAAAAAAATGGTTCAGTGGTTTATGCCTCTGGTTGCGGAGCCAAGGGCTGGAAGTTCGATTCCCCCCACGGGGCCTCCCGGGAGAAGAGCCAGCCTGGGTGGCCTTGGGGCAGCTGCACAACAATCCCAGGGCTCCCCCTAGAGGAAGGAAAAGGTAAAGCACATCTGAGTACTCCCTACCTAGGAAACAGTGGAAAGAACCACCCTACATCAGAACTGACTTGGCAGATTACTATTGTTGTTGTTATTGTTGTTGTTGTTATTCCCAACACCACACACTAAGCCAGGTATCCTTCTGTGTTCCTCTGCAGCAGCGCCAAGCAACAGCCTAAGAGTGACCGGGAGGGGAGGGAGGTACCAAAATAAATAAATAAATAACATACTTCTCTTTCTCTATCTCCATGGACAATCTTTTCATGTCATTATCCTTGAAGTCAAAGGACAGGCTTTCGCTGATGAGGTTGTAGGGCGGCAGATCAGTAGGGAGGGCCGTTGTGCTTGAATTCATGGGCTGCTAAAAGCAAAGGGAAGATTGATCACCCTTGAGAGTTAGCAGCCGGTGCCGCCGGCCCCCAGTCCCTCCCGCCATCTCCCACCATCGCAGACACCAAAAAACATTCCTGGCTGAGGAGGTGAGAGAACAGATGCAGCGGCAGGAACCGGCAAAACAAAATAAACCACTGGCAGGCTTTACAAATGCCTCGGCAGTCTCGGACCGTTAGCAGTGTGGACTCTTGCAACTCATTTCATACAGGTAAGAAAAGATGGCTGGTCTTACAGCGAGAAACACACGCTTATTACTCAAGGCCTCTAAACGAGCGGAACCTGCTTCTCAGCCATTATTTTTCATGCTGCAAGCTCGTCTACGGTTTCATTTATGTTAGACGTTTATTTCCCGATCAAAGGGGCCTAAAAGCACGGCACCCCCCCACAAGTCATTGAAAACCCCTCCCAAAGGCATTCTCGCAAAGGCAGCAAATTTATGTGAAACGGTAAATCCATGCGCTAGTTCAGAACGAGACGTTCCGGGAATGAATCGCTCCTTCAACAGGAACCCCTTCCCTGCCACAGAGAAGAAGAAGAAGAAGAACCTGGGCATTGAGGTTATTTCTACAGAACAGCTTTCCACCCTTTTGACTCCTTCCCTTCCTGCGATGCAAAAGCTTCTGCATACAAACTGTCCAGGGCAGGAAGAACGACACCAAACACCATATTAGACGTTTATTTCCCGATCAAAGGGGCCTAAAAGCACGGCACCCCCCCACAAGTCATTGAAAACCCCTCCCAAAGGCATTCTCGCAAAGGCAGCAAATTTATGTGAAACGGTAAATCCATGCGCTAGTTCAGAACGAGACGTTCCGGGAATGAATCGCTCCTTCAACAGGAACCCCTTCCCTGCCACAGAGAAGAAGAAGAAGAAGAACCTGGGCATTGAGGTTATTTCTACAGAAGAGCTTTCCACCCTTTCGACTCCTTCCCTTCCTGTGATGCAAAAGCTTCTGCATACAGACTGTCCAGGGCA